CTACTACCGTAATGATCTTTTTTCTGATGAGGAAAGGATGGTGTCGTGATCCAGGCTCTCTGAAGATACAGGTACGCTGAGAATCAGTATCTAGACCGAATCGCGATTCATCTGTAAAATGCACGGTGCTCCAGTGAAGTCTGGCCCAAGGCTTATGTTGTCTGCACCATGCTAAATACGTTCTCTTTAGCGCTGCAGTGCGCGGGACGCAAACAACGAATCTTCTGGCAAAGAGCCCCACTCATGAAGTCTTCGGGCATCTGTAGACCGTGAAATTCGGGTTACAGTGGTGGCATACAGCTTACGTGAGAGCTGCGAAGCTGAAGCAGTCTTGTATCGCTGTTTTGAAAGTGCCAAATAACGATCTTCATTCGTCGTTGTGTATCTTGCTCAATTTTATCCAGGTCTTCTCATTGTGGATCCAACCTCCTGAAATTGTTCGCACAAATTTCGGACGACATAGGGCGTCACATTGAGCTTTGTAGCCACATGCGTTTGTGAATGGCGTGCATTCAATCTGCCGACTATTCTCCATCGCATTCCGTCATCCATACATTTGCGGCTACTCATTTTACCTGATAAAATTTATCCAATTTTGCAAGAAACACAGGGAATGTCGTGCAAGAGTACGAGCCCACAAATCGCCGAAAACTTTTCGAGCGCTTAAAAAACCTTCCACAAACACAGCTTTGCATACACGCACGTGTACGCTTACATATTTGATACTGAATATTTGCATAATAATTCGGTGGCATAAACAGTAACTCTGGTTCAATACTTTTTGTAATTTCGTAAAAAACAGACATAATTCGGAAATTTTCTTAATTTTGCACACGAGTGTACTTTCCGAGCTACGAGTGCTACAAAATGAGACTATTGACTAACGCTAATTTCATGAACTACCCTCTGTTGCAATGAAACCTTTGCAACTTTGCTTTTGCCTTGTAAATCTTTGTACTAAGACAGGGTTCTCAACAAGATGGGTATTTTACAGTTTCGGGAAAGGGGAATGCGTTCAAACTTTTATTTACTTATCATATATTTAATTTTAGCTTATGAATATAAAAAACTACTTTTATTCAAGTTTTGGCATTTATTAATACTTTCTATACTTTTTGTTGTTTAATTTACAAAACCCATTAAAAATAATTTATATTTGAATAAATTTATATGTATTTTTCGAGTTTTTAAAAAAGGTGGGAAATGGTGAAAGGACAAAAAAATATTGAGAACCAGTCTACTAAGGCGAAAATTTCTTTGATAACTGACAACACGCAGCACCTCACCCTATAGAAGTAAGCGCATACATTTATGCAAACCAAGAATATTAATTATACCAATTAATCCAGGAGACTGCTCAGATCTCAGCACTACTCGGTTACGAATAGAATACACCTAGACTCATCAATGAGGCTCAATTCCCTTTAAAAACATACTTGTTCTACTCTGAAAGAGCGATGGGCCAGTTTGCATCCAAGTCTGGTGAAGAAGCGTGTCATTGCGTTTCGAGAATTAGGTTAGATTACTTGGTTACGGAAAACCACACGAGGAATATCTACCTATAGGAAAGAAGGCTTTTGATACGTATTGCTGTAGGAAGGGGATTCCTTCTAAGAGAAAAGTGGTTTGTATTTACAAAAACACCTGACGAAACAAACCCGTGTAAACACTGGGAATAGAGTATGCCGTCAACTGCTATTGATTTGTGACTTTACCCACTCGGCCACTAGTGGGCCTCTTTCGGGATTGGCATATTCCACAGCTCCACGTCTCTGCGTCACGTGGTATGTCCATATACCAAAATGGGCTTAAAAAAATTATAACTGCAGAAATGAGTATTAAAGTTTAAATTCGTCTATAATTTATGCTCTTTAACAAGCATTACATGCTCGTTACGCATTTATTTTATTTTTGACTTCAGTCAAAGTTTTTCACAGAGAGGTAAAAATGTAGTACCTAATTTAGGATATGGATACCGTTTATCATGTTAATCACTTGAAGCAACATTTTACAGCACGTCTAGAAATAGTAAGCTTCGTAAATTTATGCTTACAAGTAAAGTTTTAATAAATTACTTATGGGGGAAAACACAAGCTAAGCTTCTCGTAAAAAAATTAACATTTTGAACAGCAAATCTAAGATGGTTAATTCCTAATATCTTTTAAGAAGTGTTTAAAGTAAAATTATGGAAGTGTATATGTTTAAAGTAGACTAAAGGGGTTTTATAATTAACTTTTTTAAAAAATCACGGCAATAGATTCAAATGAAACTGTTCTTTTATTTAGACATCTTTATTTATCTTCTTCAAAATGTAGAACTGTGTTGTAATAGAAAGGGTTTCTGAAAATTTCTCAGAATACGTATAAAGAAACCATTGGGATCTTGTTGGAATATTATTTCTCTCTTTAACTCTCTCTGTATACATTTTTGCTTTCGATTTTTTGTTGCGTATAAACTAAACGCTGTCTTTCGCAAATACATTTGTAAAATAGGGAGGAATTCTTCGTTATAACCACAAAATTATGCGAATACACAACATCGAAACATCTTCTGGCTAGAATAAAGCATTGGCTACACTAATTTGTAGTGTAGCAAACGAATAGATTGATATTTTACCTTATTCGATTTTCTTCTGATTCGATTGCTTTTGTCTTCCCATAGTCAGTGTACTAACCTAAGAACTTCAATGCTCTCATCACATTCGCAATGTGTTTGCTAAGAATTAGCTGGCAAATGAACATGAATGAAAAGTCTGTCTATTAGCTACCAAGTATCTGCAGCAGAAATTACAAGGGATAAAAAAAATATAAAGTCAAATCCCGCTATAACGAGCTTCAAGAAACCGGAAGTTTGTTCGCTGTATCCGGTGGTTCATTATATACGATTAGATAAGAAAAGTAGATCATCTTACAAAAATATAAAAACAGTGTTTTTATATTTCTGTGAAAACAAATAACAAAAAATGCTGACGCATTTACCGTTAACTTTTACTTAAGACATGTATGGTTACAGAGGAAAGATTCAATAACTTTTTTAAAGAATATATGTCTTTCAGATGATCTAAAGAATGCAAAATTTCCATTTGGAGGACATAACTCGGATAGCATTTATAAGCAAACGAAGGGGGAAAAAATCGATTAAAATATAAGCATTTTCTCCCTCCTTCCAGCATGCCTTCAAGGTGTAAAGGTAGCACACTCGGCGCGTATTCGAGAGGACCAGGTTTGAGTCCCGTGATGGCATTGCATATTTCTCACGTGACCTGCTTCAAAATATCCTAATGACTCCACAAAGATAAAAAATTTTCCTTTTCTAAAAGACGAATCAATTGTATAACCCTAAAGATTAACCAAACCACAAAGATTAAACCAAACTCAAAGTTTCACTCCTTCTTCTTTCCTTGAATAGCGAAAATTTCCATCATGGTATTCGCCATAGACATACCTCTGTCTGTCTACTCAAACACTCTCAGTTTAATCAAAGAAACTACTTTTCCGCTCCTTGGTTTAATCAAAGAATATGAATAGGCTCCCAATTCAAATTCTTTGGTTTAATGGTCATATACATCTTACACAATGAACGCCATATGGTGTCCTAAGATTTGATTATTGTGTTTTCGTTCTCCTAGATTGGGTGTCACACCTTTTCGCATAGTCTTTGATTAGAACACAGAGAAAAGTGGGCTTGAATATAAAAGAAAAGCACTGTAAAGAATGTGAATTTTAACATCTTGAAAGTGAGTGGTTTTAAGGGTTAGTAAATAATTTTTTCGTTAATATCTACAGAAATTCTGAAAAAAAAAAATGCAAAAAATATAAAAAGTTTCAATCGAAGATATCCTTATATTTCATTATATTCTATTTCCATACCCTTAGAATTTCGCTATGGCAGCATAAAAAGGCATTAAACTGGATCGGATCAAAAGCTTCGCTTGCTATATCCGATGGTTCGTTAGAAGGGGCTTTGACTGTATTATTAAAAGTGGAGAATTTTTGTGTTATAATATAATAGACTACTACATCTGCTGAAAATCTGGGAGTTAGAAGCTGATTGGTTTGAACGACAAGTATATTACCAAGCTGTTCAAAATTATGCTCGTTGTAAAAATGAATTATGAGTAATTATGAGCTTACTAGAATATTTTTATGTTTGAAAACAAATTAAATTTGTATTGCATTTTTGTTTTGTATTTATATTTGAGCCAACAATGTACTTCATTTGAATTTATATTGATATAAAGATGACACTCGTTTAAATCAGTTTTCAAAAACGTAACTTCTCCTAAGAATTAACACTAAAGTTAACAGGCTCCTATGACATCCCTACCAGTGCCTAATTCTCAGTGTTATTATAACAGAATGATTTGAATTAGAATGATGTGACAAAATCTGAAATTCTCTTGGCACTCAATAATATTAATTTATATTAATTTTTCCCCTAAGGAAAGAAACATTTTTCCATGGGCGTTATAAATTATAATTGTGAACAACTGTGTTGATTTGTATTCCTCTTTTAAAGCAATTCATCGGTGTTTGATCTAGCACTAAAATCTTAAATAAAATGATTTACTATATTTCATAATTATGTTATTTTGATAGATTTATTTAGATTAAATGCATAATCACATTAAATGTACATATTTATATCTCGAAGAAAACTGTTTCGTGATGTAATATTTAAAATTTAAGGATATTAATATGAACTTATGTAGAGGGTAATCGCAGTCACTTCAAAGAATAAATACATTTTCTCATCATTGCTTTTTAGCATGCGAAATCATGCAGAGAGAGTCATTTTTGTTCGTTCAATTTATAGTTTTAGGTAACATCATAAAACTGATAAGTACACTTTCTAAAGTGACTTGAAGTCATTGAAATGAAATCAGCACTCTGCAAAGAACATGAGAATAAAGCTTTATTTTAGAACTTTTATGATAAAAAGTGCTATTTCATTGTCTGGAACTTCATACTTACTCAAATATATATTTTTTTCTTCGATAGGTCAGTCACATCGAAAAAGTGCTTGGCCAACGGGCAGATCCTTCGCTAAGCCCTTCTAGACCGGTGTCTTGTTAAAGTGTTCAAAACCAGCTAAAATGGGAACCATTGCCCCGTTCAACCATTAATCAAGGATGGAGCAACATCTCTGGACCCCTGCTTCAAGACTAAAAAGTCTGCAACTGGAGCATTTTATTATACTGTGCAATTCCTAGTTTTCCTGAACCTTTATTGCTTCACCTATCTAAGTACAGGTGAGTCTAACGAGGAGATTGCTACCTTGCTATAGCAATGACAAACATGCAATGACTTTCCTTAAGGATATGTGCACTGAAAATCGATTAAGAAGATTTCTTCTCTTAAACTTTTAATATTGTTTGTTCTGCGTACGGTAAGGGACATGTTATGTGAACATTACAATACTATTTAGCTATCACGAAAGCATCATGAAATTGGTTTGCTTTTTGAGTCATAGCATTTGTTTGGTACAGTGAAAAAAACTAGGCTGTGATTGTAATTCCTTATTTGTATAGAAATTTATGTAAATTTATTCCATAATTTGTAAATCTTGTACTTAAAAATATTAATCTAACAATTGGTCAAATTTTTCATGATTGCTGCTGAAGTGCAACTGTTTACAGTTGATGTACAAAATATTTTGTGATAGTATTCTAAGAAAACATGGGTGTATTGTATAAAATGCAGGAAATTTATTGAATAAATATAAAAATTATAAACTGAAGACATGTTTTGTATGCAGTTTCAGTGGAACATATGTAACAGTGATTGTAGAAAATCTTCAGAACAAACCGTGTCATTGAAATAAGATAGAAAGGTAATAAGATGGTTTGGCAGTTTAGGATATCAGCATGACACAAATATATATATAAAATTTTGCTTTATCATAGAGCATTAATCTAATTTAATTCTCTGTACTGCAAGTATATTGATTGTACTGAAAATCTTCTGACAGTGACCTGATCTTTACTTAGGAAATGAATAATCTTACATCCTAATGAATATGAATAAAGCAAAACTGTCAGGTAAATGAGATTAATTACTGTAAACATAGCGTTTATTTTTAAAAATCAAGACAAACCTATTTAACGACTAGAAAACCAATTGGGATTAACATTTATGTTTAAATATTCTATTATTTACCTTACTGAGTTAATAAGGGGTATTATTAATTAATTAACATAAATTTAATGCCACACACCTTTATGAACATATTTTATTGATGTAAAAGCAAAAAAAAAAAAAAAATAATTTACTAAATTTATTTGATAACTGTAATTTTCCAGAATTTAATAAAAAGACTTTGAATCAGGATGAAGCTTTCTAAAATATTTTAATAATACTAGCATTAATGTTGATGTATATGTTTTAAGATATGTAAAAATGTTTGAGACTAAATAAATTTTGTTTTGGTAAATTTACAGAAGCTTCGCATTATCGTTTCTAATTTTTTACGGAATACTTTTTCAACTTTCATAGCATATTAATTTAGAAATATTTCATACAGTTATTTTCAGTATTGTTTTTTTGTGCACCACTAAACACATTTTTCAAGTTTTGTTACCATGCCTGTGAAAGGATTCTTGGAACAGAATCTTTAGGTGAAAATGACTCAGTTCTACTAATATTTGCATTTGGAATGGCAAGACTTTTATAGGATAATTACCTGATCTGGATATGATGTTTTCATTTAGAAAAATTGCAGTGTATTTAGCATTATAAATTATAATAAAATGCAATAGCATAAAAATTGTTTAAGTTAGAAAAAACGTATCAGTTGTATATTACTTGTACTTCAGTACATAAAATCTTTCGGTAGAACTATAGAACGAGAGTTCAGAATGGTTACTAATTACTAGACATTTAAATATGTACAGTAATTAAAATCTAATATGATTATACTAAAATGAAAGCCAATGCGTTCAGTAAATCTGAGTTTACCAGGGGCTGAATGAAGAAAACCTGTGCACACTGGTTTAGTTCTTTGAGTGCACTATTCCCATCAAACGGCGTGGCTGTAAGGGAGTTTTTGTAGTGTGTCTCTATGTATTAATGTTCTCTATGTATAAATGTAATGGAAGGAACGCATGCTTATTTCTAGAGTAGATAGCCTTCCAGTGAATCTTAAGCAAAAACAAATATGAATAAAAATCACTAAGTCTTTTTTTTTTTTTTTCTCTCTCTCTCTTTTTGGTGTATGTGGGAGAGGGAGAGAGACATTATTTTCCATGGTCCTTTATTTTCCATTTATTCCATGGTAATTTGTTGAAAAGCCAAAGAGCATATCGGCGGACAAAAGTTAACTGTGGTATACTGTTTGAACTAGAGCATGAAGTTCTGCTTCCTTTAACCAGCAACTGAGGTTACGTTGGACACGTGCAATAAAGGGCTTGAACCTTAAATAATTATTAGCACCTGACTTTTTATTACGCATCCTGTGCATTATAAAATCTATTTTGAAACTAAAGAGACATTGACTTCCAAAATTTAAATACCGTATAGTTACCGTATAATCAGGAATTTGCAATCTAATTTTAAAAATACCAGCAATACCAACACTAAAATGCGCGTATTCGGAGCTTTTCTATGAGTAACGTCAATGCGGACTTACTTCCCTCCAAAACGTTCTCCCTGAAGTCATCATTTCCCTTTGTCAGATAGCCCTAGAGGGCTCTGACATAATCCATTAAACAGCTGAAGTCAACATTTGTATATAAAAGTAATTAACAGCTCTAAATTCTCGAGCGTAAATAACTTCTAAATATCTTTTTTAAAATCAATGTTATTTTTTTAGAATGTTAAAGGGGTTTGCACATTTTTGCTTTAGTGGGAAACAAACGTATGTTTCGATTCTTTAATTCTAATTGTTTAAAAAACACCCGTTTTCCTTCTGAAACACAATCTATTCGTTTTACGTGCGAAGCCATATTGTGTTCGTGCCATTTTATTTCCAAAATGTTACTTTTTCCGAACACTGGAAATAAAATTATTATAAATATATTAATACTATTTTATACAAAATTTTAGCACTTACCAGGCAGGAGACAAGTGTGCTTTATCATAATTAAATAACTCAGTCCGACCAGAGAGGAGAAGTACTATTTTAAAATCTTTGTAATTCATGTAATATGCAATACATTGATTCCCCCCCTCTAAAAAAAGTCAACGATTTGTATTAAGATTGTTGATCTGGACAAAGTTTGCGACTGTACGTATTCTGCGAGAAATTCGTTAAGTGGAAGACTTCTTATAGCTACTCTGTCACATTGGGTGAAGAACACTCGGCAAGATAGTCTGCAGGCCACAGAAGTTTTCAAAGGAATCAATTCCTTTTTATATCACTACGTGCGGACAAAGTTTTAATGCGTGTATATAGCATTTTCAAGCCTTCACTCCATATTATCTTTAAGACTGGTTCGATTTTTGCTGTAGGAAAAATCTATTCAGGGAAACTATATACATATTGATAAAAAGAAAAAAATAAAAGTATATATACTTTCTGTGTGTAGCTTTTGCCTAAGGGAGTTAAAAGTCATTGAGATGTTCCGCAGGGCGATTTAATCTTGAAAGCTAAAGGTTAAAGAGGTTCGAAAGTCCATATTTATAAAAGGCTCTTAACGCAACCACCTTAGCGTAGTTTGTCGAATTTTTAGGGATGAACAATTAAAAGTTACTTATTGGGTGCAAGTTTTGCGACCTTTTTTAAAAAAGATTCCCAAACTTTGGATGTTTTATCATTATTTGGCAAACATTATCAACCCTGGAAAAGGAGACATACTTTAGGAATTTAAAATAAAAATTTCAATTATTAAATAAAGATTACGAGAAACATTAAAAAAAATAAAACATTTACATTAGTCTTTATGTCTTTCTGCTTTTTTTTTTTTTTTCATTGTTCTTCTGGCCAAGTACACAGCGATCTACGTTTTCTTAAAAAACATCGAAGAATTGCAAAGACTCACCATCGCACAAATCTCGGCAACATCGGCTACCAAACACATTTCTTCATTGTCCACTTTAGAGATTCTGTGGCAGAATTCTGAATTCCTGCACAAATTTTATTTCAGTTTCTTCCATTGCTGGCAAATATTAATAGCGAAGAAGGGTTTGTGGAAGATTTTATGGACAAAACTACCTCGTACTTATGACGTTATACATAGAGGAAAAAGAAGCATGCACGAAAGGAAACCGAACCTGGAATAACCTATCAGCGTTTAGTGATCTTTTCCATTCGGTGTCACTGGTGTGCATATCTTATTAAAGTTTACATGGTTCTTTCGATATAATAAATTATTCAATTTTGACATTTAATAGCAACATTTCTTAATTCTTAATACCTTTATTTAATTTCTTATGCAAATTTATTTGAATGCTTTAATGGACCAGCATGCTTTGCTATAATTAACTAACAAAACAATTTGTCATGCTACTTACACGTTTTTAAAAATTTCATAAGGCATTAAATTACATGTCACAATTAATATAGGCAGAGCAAAAGTTATTTAAATTTGTTCAGGAAATTGAGAATTTGCGCAGATTTTGAATATCTCATGCTTGTTGCTTTTTATAAATATGAAATTGCAAGAATGCAAACTAAATGATGAATTTGCATTAGATAATAATTATGAAAAAGCGTAGAATGATGGAAAATAATTTGTGAAGATGGTTTGGTTTATATGACTATGGCAAAGCACACGAAGGCAACCTGCCTAATGGGAAGATGTCTTCATGGAGGACTTAAGGAAAACTGACCCGTATCTACTTTATACATGGAAAAAAACCAGTTTAGAAAAAGAGAGAGAGAATTCCGTTGCTGATGACTTGTGGATTTCAAGTAAAAGTGAAATATTTGAGTAAAAAGAACAAAGTTTTGATACATTTCAAGCATTATTTAAAGAATTTCGAATAGCAAATCTTGCACAGAATATTAAAAGCAAAAACTCAAGAACTTTAAGTGTTAATGAGCAAAAGGATTATGCCTCCTTGGTGTCAAAAACAGTGCTAACCAGGTCTCTATAAAAAGAGTTCAAACTAAAACTTGTTTGTCATATACAAAAGCGGTTCATGCATTTTTTAATTCTTTAAGGAGACAGAAGGTCATATAAATGAAATGGCCTTTCTACTCACTAATGTTTTGAACCAGCACAAAGATAGTAACAAGTTCTGCATTAGCTGCTGCAGGTGTTGCAGTAAACCAACCGTAACAATAACTGATAATAAGCTAAACAATTAAAATTTCTTGTTCCGAATCCGACAGATTAACAAGCTTAATAGTGCTGCAAGGGTGACTGAGAACGGAAACACTGTTGCTAGCGAATATTAATTATTATTTCAAAATGTCTTCAATGTTAGTATTCAGAAGGCACAACGCACACATCTGTTCTCTAGATGAGATTAGCAAACCCGAACGGTGGAACGTGATTCGTCACAAAGTCTTTCTAATTCATTTTTTTTTTTATAATTTTCTTTTACTCAATAAGCGGTATTTCATTCAGAAAAGCTTTGAGGGTTCATTAAGTGTTTGAGGTCCACTGGCCTCCAAACACAACCAGTGCTGAGAGGGAAAAAGACAGTAAAAAACTACACTACTTCCGCTTCTTGGCCAGTCTTGCACGAACACAAACCGTTGCCTAAGAATGAAAGCCAAGTTTATGAACGTTGGTTATTACGATCCCTCACCTGTGAGAATCACTGAAGCTTTAAATTTTGGTGTTTCCTTTACAG